GGGCACGAAGCAACAGAAACCCCGCCTCCTGCGCTCGCCAGCTGGGCGCCGCCTTAGGGAGGGGGCGCTGGCACAGCACTTCTGAAACACCTTGCCTTGAAAACTGCAAAAGGACTCGTCCAAGCAGTCACTGCAGAGACGGTAACGACTGAGCGCAGATTGGAAAAAAAAAAAAAGAATCTAAAATATTCACATAGTCAAAACAAAATTCCTCAACTGTATTATAGGAGGATTTTTTCCAGTAGTGTATATGCAGAAGTAGTAATGTTAGGATAAAGAGATTAGCTATACCATTTAATTACAAACTTGTTGCTCTTCCCAACATTAAAAAGCCAATAACCATTCCAGTTGTTTACATAATCAACAAGATTAAAAAGGCATTTTTCCTCCTAAAATGGTAAGATGATACAGTGGGTTTTGTAGGCATTTTTACTAATTTGCTGGGCTTTGTAGAAGAAGCAGATCTGAGAGGTAATTTAGATTATGCATGATACATGGGTAATAACTCTGATTCTGCATTAAATAGTAACACACTTTCAAAAATAAAGACAGACGTATGCTCATTCTTAATTCATAGATACTTATTTCTGTCACTTATGTAAACTTTGTACAGACGGTTTGAACTTATTTAATTTGGTAATAGCAGAGTAATCTATAATATAATTCAACCCATTAGTTAATGTTCTCTCTGATGACACAGATGAAAGGTTATCATTCCTGCCTATCAAATACAGAAATACACTCACCTTAATCTGATGATTCAGAGGCATCACTCCACTGTGATATATAACTGATTTGACATCTATAATAAATCTTTTAATTTTTTGTAGCAAGTTAAAAATATTGTTAAATGCTGAGGATTTCTTTAGGAATGAAAGATGAGGGGCGCATCTTTCAAATACAGGGGAAAAAATAATGTTGTGAAATAAGAAAGCATGTGGAGTCCTTGGTGCTCTCTGAGCTTGGTTGTTTGCTTGCAGACATTTCATTATCCAACCAGGTAACATCATCAGTGCTAGTGAGTGGGGGGTTTGCTCCCTGTTTATACATAGTAGGTTGCTCTGCCTGTGTTGGTGGGGTGTGGTTTCCTCCTTGGTAGTTCCTTGATTAGGGTATTGTTTTCTGCTTGATTATTTGTCTTGTGTTAACCCCTGCTTATCTGGATGTTGGCTGCTGGAGGGGATGTGTTCTCATCTTTTTGTTTCCTTCTTTGCTTTTTGTGGTCTCTTTTGAATGGTATGTAAACATGGTTTATCTCTATGTCTGGCTGTCTATTGATGGCTG